AAGGAAGGATCCAACCACTAAGATCAACGGGATACTGAAGAATATGCTCAAGGAAATGCATACAAATGTGAAAATAAACAGATGGACGATGAAATCTTTAATCAAAACTGACGCAAGACCACCGACAGCCTACGGACTACCGAAGATACATAAGGAAGAATAATAGTCAACAACAAGCATGGAGCAATGCATAAGCTAGCGAAATTCATTTGCTTGAAGCTCATGAAAATAAATGACAGACTCTTGAATACCGTCAAGAATTCTTATGAATTTTCTCAAAGGATCGAGAAAATTGGCTTTGTGGGGTCGGAGTTGTTGGTGAGTTTCGATGTACAATCCATGTACACAAACATACCAGGCGAGAAGGCGATAAGCGCCTTAATGGAGATATTGAGGCGAAGAGGATATCCTGGAGGCAAAACGAATACAGCAGTCGTTAACACGACTAATCAACTTGACATTTAATACAACATACTTCACATTTAACCGCAATATCTACGAACAAATATTTAGACTACCGATAGGACCTCAACTCTAACCTCTTTTGGCAAATGTATATATGGACAAGTTTGAAAGGGAATTCACGAAGTCACCACTGCAACCAAAAGTGCTCATGCGATACTTGGATGACTACTTTGCACTTTGGTCACATGGTAAGAAAGATTAAAGTGAATTCCTCAATTTCATTAAGCAACTTGATGAAAGAATTAAGTTTTCAATGGAAGTTGAGAAAGATGAACGACTACCCTTTCTGGATGTTGAAGTCATACGCTTTAGAGGGACCCTCATGAAGAAACTATACAGAAACAATTCGTATGCAGGAATAATGCTTAATTTTCAGTCTCATCATAACTACAGACTGAAGATCAAAATACTGAAGAGTTTGATCATCAGAAGCTTACGACTAACAGACAAAGAGTTCTGGGACGAGGGGTTAGACAAACTGACATGGATTTGTCTAAGTAACGGATACCCCAGAGAATTTATAGAGAAAATGTAGAGATTATAAAGGGGCGATTTCAACATGGATTTTATGAAAATCAGATCAGGAATGAGGATAAAAACCAAT